GAGATTCCAGTGCCTCGTACTGAGCCTCATTAATGGTATTAAGAACCAGTATTATTATATATTACAATTTAAACTAACGAAACCTGAAGAGATTAAACAAAAGTTAATGTTTTAGAATATGTGGACAGCAGGGCGAGTCAACGGAAGAATTTAGATGGTTACACGATACAGTATTGCGCGAACTATATCTGATAAATATAATTGATAGCTTTGCGGCAAATAAAATTGAAGTGGAGATCGTTGGGTTTAGTGGTCAGCATACTCCTAAAGGTTAATAAAATATGTGCTAAGTGTCGGAAGAGTAGACGTAAGCGAAGGTAGGAAGGATTGCATTAAACTTGCAGAGTTGGGTTTGACGACGGTAGATGCATGGAAATATGCAGGCAGTGGCTGGAAGTATCGGCCGTTTTTTAAATTTATGTGCTTCAAGGGAAATCCATTTGTATATCTATATTCCAAAGTATATTTTCAAACTAATAGAAGGAATGTAAAAAATTGATACTAAATGGATTATTTTTTTTTACCAACTTCCCTCCAACTTTGATCCAAATTTTATTGATAGTTTTTGATATATAGGAGTATCAAGGGAAATACATTTTCGTACATTGGCTAATGTTAGTACAAAATGTCATATGTAACAATTTTACATGTTTATTCTCTTTGCGCTAAAGGTGGCATTGAGTAGTCTGCAACAGCTATAAGTTGTCAGCTAAGTAGGAAAATATCAGAAAGAAATAAAATATGATATTATACTTATAAATACAAAAAATAATAGGTTTTTACGCTTCTGTAAAAAAATCCAATTTTTACATTCGATCTTTTGCATTAATAGTAGTGATATATAATAGAAAGTAGTGAATAGAATTAATACTATGTTATTTTTTAGCTTTTTCCAAACTTAAGCTAAATCGGCCTAGCCATTTTAAAATATAGACTTGTCTTAGAAAATACATTTACGTTACTGTAAACTGAAGTAGAACAAGGATTTCAATAAAATTGATCTGTGGCCATTTAAACATAAATCTGTACAATATGATAATTTCATGAAATTCAAATTTTGATTTAAATGAACGGTAGCAGGTGATATATTCCTAACGTGGATTTGTCGACATTCACGAAACCTTATTGTCTGAAATGCGTGAAATGCGGTTAGAAATTTTCGACTCTGACGACTAACAAGTCTTTCATATTATGGATAATTAAAAAGCTTCCTGATCTTACGGGAAGAAAAAGGCCAAAACTTCCAAAGAGATCAAAATTAATTGTTAGAATATAATTAGAAGATTGCAAACATAAAGACTGACAGAGATAAATACTCTCAGACAATACCTACCAATGACTTAAATCTGTCAATGTTTTGTTTGCCTTATTTTTTTTATGCCCTGGCTCCTCATCATCATCATGATCATGGCTTCAGGGGTGCCCATCCCCTCCCCTCAAGATCGATGGTGCAAGAACCTACCTACCCCCTCCTCCCAAAATATTTTATTGTTCACTTTTTCTTAAAAATAGAGGAAGCCAAGATAGAATTAGAAAAATCGTAGATCATATACAAATAAACTTGCTGTTCAGAAAGTCAGAAAACCTTTCCGAAATTTGGCCCCCTCAAAAATTCAAAAACCTGTCGAAATATACCTAAAAAATTGTGATGGCGCATCTTGCGCCATGAAACCTCCTTCTGGGTAGCTCTACATGGTTTTATCTTTAAAATCCATCCTATTACGTCTTCATAATAAATTTTCTTGAAGAATAATTAATTCAAAAAACAAGTTTGCCAAGTCATCAGTTTAGATTGCTAAAGGAAAAAAAACTTTTATATTTATACTTTTATAAATAACAACTCATTTAGCAGTCTTCAATTTCTTTTTCTCTCATTCATTATTATTATATAATTGGAAATTATAGCAAACAAAGAAAGTAATACTTAAAAAAAAAACAACCAATCCAATCACAAAGGAAAAGAGTAAAAAAAACAACAACAATGGTGCTTAGAGACGAAAGCAATATCTAATTATAATCATAATTAGAAACAACTAAATATTTGAATAAACACTATTTCCAAACCTCTGTTAGATATCTTGGAATAATTTTTAATTAACAACTATCTCCTTAATCAACCAAAAACCATTTCCCATTCTTAAGCTGATAATAAAATCTCCTGACTGTATGCCACTTAAATATGGCCAGCTAGTTTACCTTCAACTATGGACTCTGCACAATATATATTATGAGACTAAAATGGCTAATGAATTGTTTTATTGTATACATCTTCGGACTCTCCAGGCGCTCTCACATCTCCAGTTGTTATATCGAGTTGAAGTGGTTTTATCTTGTAACCCGACGAAATATTTCTTATGTTTATATGTGTTTAGAAACCAGAAATTATTCTTATATCGTCAATCTGTTTATCCCCCCCCCCATCCTATCCACTGTCGAGTTTTTTAATAAAATCTCATATCTTATTCCAGTATATTTCTTCTCACAAAATTTCCTTCCTTTAAAAAATCATTTATGGTGCTACGTCGTTTTGTGATTATTTAACCATATGGATTTGTAAAATTCCATCTTTAATTTCATTCAAATATAAATATACTTTATATTTTTTATATTTACGATAACCTAAAATATACTTGATTTATGTAGTTAAACATTGCTGCATAGTAAACTAGACAAAATTTTAATTCAAAGAAAGTAGAGTTTGCCATTGCTAAAACTATTTAAATAAGACTATAGAACGGACAAACAAAGCTGAGTTCTGTTTAAAAAAAGTCATAAATTATTTGTGATTTTTTTTTATCACCCTTAAACTGTAGAAAAACTTCCTCGTTTAATAAGCTTTAAGTCCATATTAATTAGGTTGATGTTTATTGGGGAATTCAGATTCATCTCAAGTTGAGTAAAGAAATGGTGTGATTTTCTATCCAATCACCTAAATGTACTTATGTTTTCTGCAAAAATGGTTAAAATAAACTGTTGCAAAGCTTTTATTTCTTGTTTTTCCGTGATATGGGATGTATTGTAATAAACATAGCTGCCTAAAAGCACATTTTATTTATAAAAATACAAAATTAAAAATAATGATTTCCCAAATTTTTTTCATATAAGTTGGTTATGAAGTTATGTTTTTCGCCCATATTTCTGTCATGGTCATAGATGCGTATTTATTAGTGACAAATTTAATGTTTTTAGAGTTAATATTTACGTTTTTATGAAAATAATTGCAGCAATCAATAGGTTTCTTTATTTTAAACGTAAATTTTAATAAGAAACATTACGTTTTTCACTGATAAATACAAATTAATTCTCATGATGGAGATCTGGGAGAAAAAGTTTCATAACTACTTTACGTGAAAAATATTTGAAAAATCATTATTTTTATAAATTATATATTTTTAAGCAATTGTGTTAATTACCATACATCCGGTATCACGGAAAAACAAGAAATAAAAGCTTTTCTACTGTTAATTATAGTCATTTTTGGTGACATTATTTCTTTACATAACTTGAGGCGAATCTCAACTCAAATTTTCCTAATAAACCTCAACTTAATTAATATGGACTTATTAAGCTTATTAAACCTAGAACGTTTTACTAAAAGTGTTGTAAATTTATTACTCTTAAAGGGTAATAAACTAACCCTTTAAGAGTAATAAATAATTTAAAATAATTTATGACTTTTTTTTTTTAAATAGCTGTAACAAAGACAAACTCGTCTATCGTTTAAAGTGATTTTTGTCTAGTTTACTATGGAGCATTATTTAATTACTTAAATCAAATATATTTAAAGTTATCGCTTAAAAAAACACAAATTTCCTACTTTTCTGCTAAAAATTGGGCAATTGTTGATATGAACTTTTTTGTAGATCTTGATGTCTACTATCAAACATTTAAATATATTTTTCCTCTATTTACTTTTTTTCGTATGTTTATATGTTTTTAATTATTTTGTTGCTATTTTATTTGACATTTTCAGCTTTAATTCTCCAAAATACAAAGGGAAGAATACAAAACCTGAAAACTTTTCGCCAATCCAGGTAACATCAGGACAGAAGAGAAAAGTAAATCCTTGCGATGGGTGTCACGGAGTAGTGACATCTTTTCTCTTTCTCATGATGATGTCTGAATTGGCGAAACGTTGACGGGTTTTTTATTTTTTTTCTGCATTCTGGAAACATCAGACAATGTCGTTGAAATTTTTCTAATTATAATATAATATTGAATTTCTCTTGGCAAGTATTTGATTAATTTATATTAATTATTTTCATCGTATATTGGTTCAAGCAAGTAAAGATTCCTATATAATAACTACTTGTATGTATGTTTATATAATTTCAATGTTTCAATTTTGTAACTTGGGCTCTGTTTTATTTTATAATATTACAAATTATTCATTTCATAATCATTAAGGGGACTAGGAGGAATAAAATTTACTTTATTTATTAACAATATTTGACTCATTAGCTCCCAAAATTGAACACCTACTAAAAACTACAAATCTACAAAGTGAGAGCTGACTTTTCAGTATAATCGATGTCTCAATGTTGATTTCTCTTTTGTGGATTTGATGGTTTTCTAGCCTAAATTTAAACGTTCATTTCAGCCACCACAAAGATGTAGGTCACGCAATTCCGCATAGTTAAGCCGTCTGAATTGTCAAGTAGGCACATCTACAATGCCTAGTACATAATATTCTGTGCCGGTAAATCTCTAGCTTGTTAGGTACCTCAATAAAAGAATACTTTTATAAACTTTTATGTATATCCAATATAGAATCTTCTTTTGGGAGTTTATAAGTATTTATCCGGGCGAATGGCGGTCATCTTTCCGTCCGGGTGGGCGGACAAACGACTCAATTTGCCACACGGGCGAGCGACACCCGAACCTCCTGCACGGCTCAGTTGCCAAAGCGCGCTGCCAACTGTAGTGGAAGCCGCGGACATGCGCCCCCTCCGGACCACTTGTTGCTACGTCACGGGAGTGGGGGAAGGACTCCACAGGTAGCCTCCATTGTGCTCGTCGGTCTAGTGAGAGGTGTTCTGTGTCCCTTCTTGGATCTTCGTCCTGCTTTCTAGTGCCCAAGGTAAGTCCATATCTAATATCACCCATCACATCCTCCGATTCTGCTCTTCTTCGGCGACCTATACACTCGTCTTGTCATGTCGAAGAAGTGACCCTTGACAGGACATGTCCTTGGATGCGGTAGGTGTGGCATCCAGGCCTTCCACTTCCCGCCTGTCTGTTGTGTAACTCTCTTTTCGTCCTCCTCCCCTCCCCCGTGGAATGTCATCCGATTTTCTGTTTTCGAAATCAGACCGAAGATTAAGAACGATGTCCGTGTGGCGTGTCCTTGAATACTGTACGACGTTCGGTTATCAACAACTCGAGGATATTTAATGCTTAAGGGAATTCATGAGCTTGCTGTCTTCGTGCCAAAGGCGGCGCCTTTAAGCAAGAAAAAATATATTTGCATAATAAAATATAGTAATTTCCCAGTGTATAATCATTTCCATTTCAACTAATTACGTGGAAAAATAAATACGTGCATAAGCAGCATGAGTCACAGCAGTCCTTTAAATGTACCTTTTCATTTTAAATGGATTATAATTTAGCGGTAAACTTTCCTATCCCAAAACAATTGGAAATCTACATACACGAAAACTTACTGCATATACTTATGATATTATTTCCTTTCTTAAACCTGAAGCTTTGGAATAGATATTATTAGCGACATCCAACAGTTCATTTTGAATAAAACAATAAAATAAATAAATTATAATAGATGATTAATAAAATAAATAATATACAGTGACATCTAAACACTCCACTCACTCTCTCAACCGTTTTCGTCTACATTTGAAAAATATCATTTATATCTAGGCTACAAATAAAGACAATTAAAAAGAATATATATTTAAGGGTAACTATAGTCGTTAAAAATAGTATACGAATAAAATAAATAAAATATATCTCCTAAATCTTAAAAAACTAAAAATTGATTTTATAAAGTAGAACAGAAAATCATGAAATTACCTTTATCATGTGATCTGTTAAACCAAGATTTGTAGATAAGATAGATATTAATACTATATATTTTTTTGCACGTGAATACTGGCAAACCGATTGATATTTTTGAATATTTATAAAAATACTAAACATATTTACAATCTTGAGAATTGAAGTTCAAATAAATTGAGGAATTTATGACCGGTTAAACGAATTTTGATGTATTGTTTTTTATTTATTTATATAGCTTTTTTTTTTAAATGCATGTAAACTGTAGTAAATCATAAGCTCCCTTAATCTGGTATTAATATAATCACTGTCAAATTACGAAACTCGTTTTAATTTTATTTGCGGACACAATATTTGTTGTTTTTTGCCAATTTTCAAAATAAATAATAACTAGACATTATAATTTTTTGATAAATTTATACTTGATTTGTCGTATATTTTGATGGTATGCGAGACAAAGGGGAACTAATCCATTTTTAAAATTGCTCTTTTTTTAGTTATATAAAATCCATGTATCATAATCCGTACACACTCTTTATTGGAATCACGTTATTTGCTCAAATAAATGAAACTAATAAAACTATTAGTATTCACATAGATCTGCATGTTTTATTTTTACATTTGTGGATAATAAAAACAATGCCCTTTGTTCAAACTAGTGTTCTATCTTAAAACGATTTGAGTTATCAGTTACAATTTAGCATATATTTAAGCATTTTATGGTATTTTGTTGTTACTTAATAATTATAATTGCTCAATTTGTTAATTTTACATTATTTTAAAATTAATATTAATTTTATTTTCATTTATTTATAAATCCAATTAAAAATAATTAAATTTTATACTTTTCACTAATTGAACCCCTATTAGTTTTTTTAGCGAGTTTTTCTGAGCGAATACGGAACTTATAAACATAAAATTTATTTACAAATTGTTGTAAAAGCAATTGATATTTAGATTCAGTAAAATAGTTCCTATTTTTTTGGGTTCTTGTTCGGAATGGAAGCATGGTAATATTTTTGCTTATTTTCAGTAGTAGATTTCAAATTTGACATTTTTGTATTCAGTTTTCAGTTTTTTATTGTCTACTGCTTCTATTGAAGATACAACAATTTTAAGGAAACACCATGACCCCAGACTAGCCTCACAAAATTTATAAAATCACTTACTGAATTTACAAAATTGGTATTGATCAGCACATACCTATTCTCTACTCCCGATTCTATCTTAAACTACAGAGACATCACAACAGACTTATCAACAACATGGCCATGGTTGGCATGTTCGTCAGAAGGCGACTGAAAAGGAGCTGGATGAGAGATCTCCTCTGATTTCATGTAAACAGACCAGGGAAGATGTGCTGCTGGATACTATTCTTCATCATGCCTATCATGCCATTTTTTACCATGACAGGTGCGGATAGAGAAGTAAAAAAAAATTGATGACAAAAATTCCTATAAAATCAATTTCTTTTCCATTTCTACGAACTTATCTACAATATAACTACACCTTGAAATTTACAAATGTATCAAAACGTCAATATAGGTGAACATATGAACAACTCCAACATATTATGAAGCATTGAATTGTTTCCTCTTTTCTATGCCGTGTTTAGACATTTATAAACGTTTTAAGTTATTTTTATTTTGGTACTAAAAAAATTGAGGTTAATTGGGTGCACTTATTCTTCCGTCCTTGGATTTGAGTTAACCTGTGGGCACACTCAGCCTCTGTAATGTTAGTTCTTTTAAATTAATAAAAAGGAAAAATAGGCGTTATAGCATGATCTTGGTCAAATCTCTTCGTTGCTCAAGCTTTGACCAAGAAACAGTACTTCCTTACAAGAGACTGAACCCAAGACACTATTTTTCTTAAATTTATTTAAAGTATTAAATCAATCATACAATTCGTTTTTAAAATAACAGCGGGTAATAATATTCTTTTCACCTCTTGAGATGTTTAAAATTAAAATATAATTTTTAATTAAAATTTCATTTTAATTTTGAGGTTGGATGGATTGAGGAAGGTACAGTTAAGTTAATTTAGCAATTTGGACCAATCTTTTCTTGAAATAACTTTTACAACAATTTTTATGTAATAGCCTGTAATAATAATATGTAATAATAACCTAATTTTAAGTCATATATTATTAATACAAATAATTTAATGGATATAAATGTTCCCATGCTTATGATACTTGTATAGGATCATATATTAAATTACCTCCTAGTGATTTAAGACGGGAGGTAATTATCTTCTATGATTACCCTCTAGATATTCCTCCTTCTTTGTTCATTTTCCTTGTATTAAATAAACTAATTTAATATAGTTTATAAATATGACTAAAAATCTATGTTCTTACAGTTAATTGTTTATATATAAACTTAAATACAGTATTGAAAATACTATTTAAAGTCTATTGCATACCCGTAGGAAATACTAAACTTAAAGTCATTATCATTATATTTTTATAATATTACTAACGAAAAATTGAAGAAAATAGGGAAATTTTTTAATTTGCTACCGCAAATCACTTTAAAAAAAATAAATTATTTCTTTGTCACTTGTTAATAATTATTGTTACATAGTTATAACTTCATTTTTCAATAAAGAGATAAATAGGTGCGTGTTTTCCATCAATAATAAATAAAACTGGCAACATTGAACGTATTTATTTAAAATTAATATAAACACTAAAAGGTGAAGTTATGCCCTATCACTGCTTCTTGGTGTAATTAAAGCACGCTTTCTTCTCTCTGGAAGGTAACAGACAATTGCAATTTTTTTTTTATTATGATTATCACGCCAGAGTTTGCAAAATAAATAACCCAATCGGTAACAGTTAAAAAAACAATTTAAACCAAAATCATATATTTTTATTGGAAAGTGATTTGCGGTAGCGAAGTTAAAAAGAGTCGAAAATAGTTTATACACATATGTCATATTCTTGCGAAATTGTTTGAATAAATTAATCGGTATTCTTTATTTTTGATATACATCTGATGATGCTATCTTCAATTAATGAACAAGACCGTTAAAAATTTTGTAATAAACATGCTTGAGCTAATAAATGAGCACAAATTAAATGAAGGATGTTTTCCGCTTTCGATAAAATGAGGTGGAAAAATTAACGTTTATGTTTATCCTTTCATGTATATGTATCATAATTGGAAGTTAACCACTAAATGTAATTTACAGTAAAAAAACAAACAAACAAAAAAAAAAAAACCTGACCGTGGTCGATTAGGATTCTAATTAATTTTGTAATGTATATTTTATGAACTGGAGCTGGAATACAGTATTAAAGATGGAAATTTTCCGTATTTTAATTATCTGCCTGTTTTATTTGTTCAATTTTTAATATGATATTAGTTTACAGTAAGATTTTGTATTTCATATTCTGTAATAAGCTTTGCCTTTGAATTATACATAGGTTTTTATAGCCGTCCACTTTATTTTTACAACACAATAACGTTTTTGCAGTAACTGCCTGCAGTAACTTTTTGTTGCTTTGCATCAGCCAACAGGAGCGGATATCGCAATAACCCCTTCCTCGTTCTCTCTCTGAACTGAAGTTAATTAATAGTTGCTAGAAATAATTAATCTACGAAATTCGCCACTAATATACCTGCCCTACTTAACTCTAATTGCCCATAAGTACAGCGAATTCTTCAACCAAATCTGATGTGATTTCTAAAATGATTTCCAAGTGCCAAATGTTTTATTAATACTTGTTATATAGGTCCAGTTTCTCAAATATTTATGTTTATGATTTTTAACTTTATATAAGAAAAAAAAAATTGTACCACTACAGCTCATGAAGAGTTTTCTTGAGTTCAGTACTTTGTAAGAAAGTCCTGTTTCAACAGCAATGATTGTGCAGCGAGGTAATCGGGACAGGATCACGCTCAACCGCCAGATTTATTAAGAGTACCCACTGTATAGAGGCTGGACTGACCCAAGAAGGTCTTCTGACCTCAGAGTCGATCCACAGCTAATGAAAAATTGCCTACCATTAATCGTACTCGAATCCGGGACCCTGAGCTTGGAAGTCAGTGCTTTACCATT